TCAGTATTTGTTTATATCAGAATTTGATCACTTTTGCTACTTATTGTCACTTGGAATCCCAGGTCTATTTATGCACCAGTGGTGTTTAGTCCAGCTTTGGGAAAGCTCATGTCCAAATAAATTTTACACTTCTTTTCTCTGAAGCCTTGTAAGCCACACACAGACAATCACATTGTTGAAAAATGTTTGCTGGGTGTCTCCTGGATGCCAGACATAATATGGGTTATCAAAGTTGATCCTCTGAATGCAGAAGCAATGTTTCTTCACCAATCATTTGTTACTTTCTTCCATCAGAATGATGCTTGTTACATTTTAATGACTTGAGATCTAACTAGTGCTCCTAAGTGGCTACAGGTCTCTGCATTTATTTACCTGATCTGAGATACAGTTTTGTGTAAAGTGGCAACCCAAAGTATTTTCTAAAAGGAAAATGACTCACTTTAGTGAGAAGCATATTTAAATTCTTTGCAGATTTCTATCATGCTCTTTTTTGGGTAATAAATACTGGCTTTGAAGCATTTCTTAAGAGAAAAAATAATGGCCTCTGTGAGGTGTGTGTGTGTGTGTGTGTGTGTGTGTGTGTGAATCTGTCTTCTGGGACAGCTGTGTGAACAGCAGACCTTGAGCATACCAATACATTTCTATTTTCATGTGTTCTCTGTATCACCACTGTAGGCAACTCTCTCATAGTGCATTTGTTACTCTTCTTGATTGGAGAAAGGCAAGCAATCTTTTCTCGTACTATTCTCCTTTTCTAATGCTAGGCTAGCCCAGTAGTAAAGGAGGGATCTGGTCATTAAAGATGCTTCTCAACCCTGCCACCCTTCACTAGTGAGCCTTTTAAGATATTACCAATATCTACTAACTTTCAACTCCTCTTTTTTAAAATTTTTTTTGTGGGATTTCATGCAGCAATATTTAAATCAGTTTACTATTAAAATTGAACGTCATTTAAAAATCAAAATCTCTATTTTTATTGAGATTATTTTGTTTGCGTTTGGGTCACACTCCACACTTTGCAGTGCTAAGGGCTTACTCCTGACTTTGTACTCAGGAATCTCTACGGCAGGCTCCTTCCTAAGTATAAATGTTTAAGTTGTAGGAAGGCACTAATGCTCTCCATTCAGAAACTATATAGGGAGTTAGGCAGCTGCTGTCCTTGGTGATGAAATTATTTCATGTGTATTCTTAAGGAAAACAACTAGTTAAAAAGGCAGGATAATCTTGAGTGTACTGTTTGTGGCTACTGTGGTATCTTCGTAGATCTATTTGAACTAGAAAAATACAGACTCCAGTATCTTAATGTCTTGAGTTCCTGACTGCCAGGCAGAGGAAATGTTTAACTATTTTAATCATGTTTCTGTATCTCAGAAAGAAAGCCCTTATGAGAGGAAATGACAACGTCCTACCACAAAGTTATCTCTTATCAGTTATAGTCTCAGTCGATAATGATTTGTCAAACTCGAGCATGTGTAAAATGCAAGGGCTGTGTTATTTACTTTGGAAAGGAAAAATTAGATGGAGCTGATAAAGACCGAGTCATGGCTTTTGTTAGAAGACAGAAACCATTAGGGACAATCATTGTTAGTTTTAGGAAAGTGTCCTTGGACCCCTCCCTCTGCCCCAGCTGAAACTTAAACCTGCTTGAATCATTCTTCGCAAGTTGAGGGAAGGGCCAAGTAAAGGAAATGGGATGAAGACAGCTTTGACAGCAGGCTAGCGTTCTAAATGGGGAGCAAGATGTGGACTGCAGAAAGAGACTTACTTATTTACGCGAGTGAGGGAAAATCGCCTTTTGTTCTGGCACTTCTCCCCCACACCCATTTATTTCAAGGTTTGAAAGTTCATTTCTTATCCTTCCCAAAGTGTAGCATTCCTTCACGTACAGTGTGTGTTGCTCTCCTCCTTTTGCCTTTCCGTAGACGTAAGTGATTCTTTTTCATTAGTTGGAAGCAGAGAAAACACATCTAGCTCAAAGCAACATGAGTCAGTGCATGCTTGACATACCTTTCTCCTCACAGCGCTCTTCTTGGTTCCTACCGTGTCCCGAGTGCCCCTCACAGAAGGGAGCAGGAGGAAAAATGACTTCTAAATAGTAGGCTATTTTGGAGGGAGAGGTAAAGTTTTTGAACTGAAGCCCCATTCTGTGCTGTTTTCCTTTCCCTTTTTTTTTTTTTGCCCAGATTTTGGTGTACTCTTTTCAGAAGTCATATTAGAAGCCCATAAAGATTATGGTTTCAGAGGTTAAGAACTTAGCAGGGCCGATACTTCCGGGTCAGGACACTTTAAACAGTCTAAAGCAGAATATGATGATGTCAAGACGGCCCCCTAGAGAATAGGTTTGGTTATAAATATTTATTGGAGATGACAGGAAGGGCCTTTGTCCCCTCTCTAAACATAATGTAAGTTTCAGTTGACCTATGCAAACTTGTGTTAGCCCATTAGCTACTGAATTTCTGTTTTTTTTTAAGGACTTCCATTTACTAATCATTGTAGATTTTTTTAGGGTGGCTGATCCCGAGTTCTGGATGCTCATTCTACACTGGAGGGCCTCACCTGCGAAAGGGCCATATCTGTGAAATAGTTCAGAACATTTTCCTGTTGAATGAGACTGGCTCTAAGTCAAAGCAAAACTAGACTGATAACTTCATGAGGAACATAGTTAGGATAGAATTTGTCATAGCTAAGAAACAAAGTTAGAATACAAGTTGTCATAGTTAAGAAATTTTTTTTAATTATTTTGGATATGTATTTGTAGTGGGGCTGGAGCGATAGCACAGCGGGTAGGGCGTTCGCCTTACAAGCGGCCAACATGGCCGACCCGAGTTCGATTCCTCCGCCCCTCTCGGAGAGCCCGGCAAGCTACCGAGAGTATTCGATATGCCAAACACAGTAACAACAAAAGTCTCCAATGGAGACGTTACTGGGCCCGCTTGAGCAAATCGACGATCAACGGGAGGGCCTTTACCTTTTTTTTTTTTATGTATTTGTAGTAATTATAATCATTGGCTCTATTTAAAGAAAAGTTTTGTTTTTATGCAAATCAAAATTTTAAACATTTCTTGTATTTTTTATATGCATGTGTATTATTATTATTTTATTATTTAGTTGTTCATTGTTGTTTTTGTTTGGGTGCCATACCCAGCAGTGCTTGGGGCTTACTTCTAGCTCTATGCTCAGGAGTCACTCCTGGCAAATGTTGGGGGACTTTATGGGATGCAGGGAATTGAACCAGGGTTGGCTGTTTGCAAGGCAAGTGCCTTACATACTATATTATCTCTCTGGTCCTTGCGTGTGTAATTTTATTGTACCTTAAATAATGTTGCCGAGATAACTTTATGAAATGTTTCGCCTTTGTTCCTTGAGAAAAAAACTTGCACAAACTAGGGGTTTGTGCAAATAAGTTTTTGTTTGTCTTGTTAAGATATAATTGAGAGATCCTTTATAGTCTCGAAGTTATGTAATTCATATGTGCTTTCAAATATTTTCTTTAGCTGTGTGGTGTGCAACTGTGCTTAACATTTTTCTCAGTAATTTTGCAATGCTAAGAGTATGCTTGGAGCAGGGTAAAAGCTCTTGAACACCTTGTCAGTTTTTGCATAATTTTTTTAAACTGGGATGTAATTGACATATAAAATCATAGGAAAAGTCTGTATTGAGTGCCTAAAATATATAGCATTGCCAGATTCTGAAATAGATCTACTTTGTCCCTTATTGAGACAAAGCAAACAAACACAACAGTGAATAAATTTGAATCAATATATACAAAGATATGAGGGTTCCAGAGGGAAAACAAAGTAAGCATTATGCTTTTGAAGTAGATTAATATTTATTAAGAAAAGCGGATTGGTGAGGGAACTATATTCTCAAAGGAAATAAGATTTACTCCATGAAATAGGGGAGAGCAGTCTTGGTCAACACAACCCAATTTAGACATGTCTGCTTGTATTCTGATGAATTACTGGTAAAGACTTCAGTCTCTCCTTTGTTTTGATTACTTTATAACTTTCTCTGTTACTTTATGCTTCGTTTTCTTTTGTTCAATATTTACTTTGGTTCTCTTTTTATTCCTAATAAGTCCCTGTTACACAAAGGACAGTTTCTTTTTCTAGCCGAGGAAATTGAGGCTGGGGTAAATTGTGACTTACCTACTGTCAAGTCACATAACAGACTATACACCAGTTCTTTCCTGACGTTTTTTGTCTAGTTTTTATGTGTATGAATTATTTTGATAACACTTTCCTATTTTTACTTCTAGGTTTGCCTTTCCATTCATGATTCCACCCTCCCCCACCCCACCCCACCCTTAGCTAATATTCACCAATTCCCTTGCCCTTCAGAAACTGACTGGAAAACCAATGAATTTATCTGGACAGCAAGTTTTAATTTTAGCCACTGCCACTGAGTTTTCATGTTTTTGATTTTTGTATTTAGGGTCATACACGGTTATGCACAGTGGCTCTTTCTGGCTTGGTGAGTGGGGATATCTTCTGGCTGTGCTTGGGGGCCATATGTGGTACCAGGTTTTGAACCTTGGCCTCCCACATGCAAAGCATATGCTCCAGCTCATTGAACTCACTCTTCAGCCCTGCCACTTAGTCATTTTTTTTAAAATGTGGTCTACCTTACCATTTATCTAAGAAGAGGACAAAGTTAAGTCATCAAAGTCACATACCAGGCTTCTTTTTATTTTCCTTGGGAGGTAATAGATTCAAGATACAGCTCGAGCAGCAGATGCAAAATTAGTGTCACCTTTTTCTCCGCTTTGCTATCCATCCTTCTGCTCTTTGTCTCTTTTTTGGTAATGTTGTCAATTGAGTAATTCCATCATTAAAATACCAAAACTAGATTTTTGAGAGCGTAGTTTGTTTGCTTTCTGTTACTTCTCTTAGAAGCTAGTGTTGACCTTAAAATTTTATTTCTACACTTTAGAGTAAAAATGAATAAAATATTAATAGCTTTGTTTGAATATTATGTGATAAATTTGGCACTGTTTGCAGGTACCTGGGGCTCAAGAGTTGGTGGATTTTTCTCCTGTTTATCGATGTCTGCATATATATTCTGTCCTGGTAAGTCTTTCTCTGGCTTTGCCTAATGAAGTTATTTATTAAATTACAAAAGTTTCTAATAGTTTTTCATTTCATTAAAGTAAATAAATGGGGCTTATTTTAGGAGTATTCATTGATTATTAAGAAACATTTATTTCTTTTTGAGTGTTTTATTTTCCATCCACTATGCTATAGTGACATTAATTTCTATTAATTATCAACATATAATCAGATTTAACCTAGAGACAGTCACATTCATATTTCCACTCTTAATTTAGTTATTTAATTAGCATTATATATTGCAATAATATTTAAAAATTTTTACTCTTTTATTTCTGTTGACAACCATTTGTGTCATGTAAATCTATGAAATCTAAGGGAAATCTTTCTGAGGGAAATATTACTATATGATTGTATTCTAAGGAATAGCACTTTTCTTCTTGGTGATACATGCAGATATACTGATACAGTGTTACTCAGGAATATTGAATTCTGGAGCTAAGGTAAAGACAACTGATGTCATGTCTAGTATTGATGCTTTTTTTTTTTTAAGCATTGTACAGTGAAGCCTCTATCAGTTTAGTTTTAATATATTTGTTTTTGTTATGTTTTTCCCGGGTGGTTTTCCAATTCCCTTATTCAGATATTTAACCAGGTGTCGATTAGTCATTACTCCAAACAATTTGAGACATTGGTCTGGGGATGTAATGACCCACTGTCCAGTCCACTGGTTTAAGAAGTATTGAATCGTTTCCTCTCCTTCCTTCTCCTTCTCCTCTCTCCTTCCGCCTCTTTAACTGCTTTCTGACTCGCTGATCTTCTTCCTCTCTGCTCCTTTTTATCCTTGCTGTCATTCCTTGTTCTATAAAGATGAAGCTAAATATAGATATGTACAAAGATACTTAAATGGACAATGTATAGAGAATTAAATCATATGCAGCTTAGTTTGTCACATGCTCTTATCATTTTATGTCATATCTTTTTATCATACTCATCCCCGAGTATACTAACTCGGTCAAGTTTAACATATTATTGTGTTTGTGATTTTAAAAACTGTATAGTATTTTTGTGTTCGTATGTGCATTTATTTATTTTCAGTTTTTGAATTATACCCGGCAATGCTCAGGGGCTACTCTTCGCTCTGCATTCCGGAATCATTATGGTGGTGATAACTTTCTCCAATGGATTTATTAATCATATTTTTAATTTATGCAAGCAGTATAGTACTTTTAATAAACTGGTAATCTGGCAGTGTGTATTATTTGTAGAAAACTATATATGAAAACTATGTAGCACTTTTGTGTACATATGTGCTTTTAAATTATGAGTTAATTTATGTTTAATTTTATAAGGCCCTCCCGTTGATCGTCGATTTGCTCGAGCGTGCCCAGTAACGTCTCCATTGGAGACTTTGTTGTTACTGTGTCTGGCATATCAAATTCTCTCGGTAGCTTGCCGGGCTCTCCGAGAGGGGCGGAGGAATCGAACTCGGGTCGGCCATGTTGGCCGCGTGTAAGGCGAACGCCCTACCCACTGTGCTATCGCTCCAGCCCTAATTACAAATTTTATAAGAATAAGTTATAAAGTTATTCATTCAAAGTTCTAGTTCTATTTTATTTAATTTTTATTCATTGCTATTTTGCTATTTTTAATAGCACAGCAGGTAAGGTGTTTTCCTTGCATGCGGCCGACCTGGGTTCGATTTCTCTGCCTCTTTTGGAGAGCCCGGCAAGCTCCAGCGCCTATTTTGGCCTTTATTTATTTATTTTTAATTTTTATTAGTGAGACATCATGAGGTACAGTTGCAGACTTACAAATTTTTGTGCTTGGGTTTCAGTTGATCAAATACCCATCCCTCCACCAGTGCCCATTTCCCACCACCATAGATCCCAGTATGCCTCCCACCCCCCATCTCCCCCCTTCCACCCTGCCTCTGTGGCAGGGCATTCCCTTTTGTTCTTTCTCTCTTATTGGGTGTTGTGGTTTGCAAAAGAGGCAATGGGTGACAATCATGTTTGGTCTATAGTCTACTTTCAGCATGCTTCTCCCATCCTGGGAGGATCTTCCCAACACCTTTATTTGGTGTTCCCTTCTCTATCTGAGCTCCCTTTTCCCCTAGCATGTGTGAGGAGTAAAATTCCTGGTACTAATCTCGGCCATTCTTGGGTGTTAGTCTCCTATTTTGTTACTTTATGTTTCCCAGATGAATGCCATCTTTCTATGTCTATCCCTTTCTTTCTGAGTCATTTCGCTTAACATGATACTTTCCAAGTAGTACCACTTGTATGTAAATTTCATGACTTAGTCTTTTCTAACAGTTACATAGTACTCCATTGTGTAAATGTACCAAAGTTTCTTTAACCAGTCATCTGTTCTCGGGCACTCAGGTTTTTTTCCAGATTCTGGCTATTGTAAAGAGTGCTGCAATGAACAAACAATTGCAGATGTCACTTTGACTATACTTTTTTGCCTCTCTGGGATATATTCCCAGGAGTGGTATTGCTGGATCAAATGGGAGCTCAATTTCTAATTTTTGGGGAATCGTGCATACTGTTTTCCAAAAGGGCTGAACCAGTTGGCATTCCCACCAACAGTGAAGGAAGTGTCCCTTTCTCGCCACATCTGCGCCAGCACCGATTGCTTTTGTTCTTGTGGATATGGGCCAGTCTCTGTGGTGTGAAATGATATCTCATTGTGGTTTTGATCTGGATCTCCCTGATGATTAATGATGTAGAGAACCTATTGCCAGTTATTTTCTCATGTGCCTTTTAGCCATTCAGATTTCTTCTTTGTGAAAGTTTCTATTCATTTCATCTCCCCATTTTTTGATGGGGTTGGATGTTTTCTTTTTGTGGAGTCCAACCAGTACTTTGTATATCCTTGATATCAACCCCTTATCGGATGTGTATTTGGTGAATATCCTTTCCCATTCTGTATACTGTTTTTGTATTTTGGTCACTGTTTCTTTTGAGGTACAGAAGCTTCTTAGTTTAAGATAGTCCCATTTGTCTATCTACAGAGAATATCTTGCCCACACAGCAAAGCCTGGCAAGCTCCCAGGCTCTGTATTCGATATGTCAAAAAACAGTAACAACAAGTCTCACAACTTCAATTTTATCTATGTTATATATTGTTTCATCAGTCTATTTTATTACATAACGACCACCAAGATTATAATACATAATAGATTTCTGATATTATTTCAGACATTAACTAAATTACCATACTTAGATGAATCTATTTCTGACCTCAATATTTTATAACATTTGCTCTTTTAATATAAATATATGAAGAATAAAACAATTCTGTTGTTTCTCTGTTTAAGATTTCCCTCAATATTGTCAGAACTATTTTCTATATGTGTTTTAAGATTAGTTTGAGTTCATAAAACAAAATACTTCTAGATTTTTTATTTATTTTGTTTAAATGTATAAAAGTTTTGGGAGTAATTGTATGATGATGAATCATCCTATTCATGGATAGGATCTAGTTTGGAAAATAGTTTGAAGGATTGAAGTGTGTGCTTCTGTGAAGGATGCTCGGTTTTTTTCCAAGTGCTATGTGGTCCCCTGTGCTCCACCAGGAGTGGCCTTCTCACCTCCCCAGTCTCTGGGTCGAGCCCCCAAAGAAAACAAAATGAAACAACAACAACAAAAATAAATAAATTATTTGTAATTTAACTTTATTCGGGATTCTTTTTTAAGCTTGATAGCAAAATACTTATAGATTCATTTTATAGTTAACAATTTCTGTTTTGAGGAGAAATAATCATTTTTGTAAGTTCATTTTGTATCTGGCTTCCTTGCTCATTCCTTTCAGTTAGTAAAGTTTTTTGGTTTGTTTTATGAGACAGTGTCTATGTACTTGATTATAATGTCTGTAAATAATGACTTGTTTCTTTTCCTATTTATATATCTCACTATTCTTTGTTTTATTATATTTCTTAGAATCACCCATAGTTTATTAATAAGATGATATGTTTAAAACTTTCTTTGTGGACTGATATTTACAATAGGTTTAAAAATACTTTTCATTTAATTTTTTGAGACTCCTGACCCTACCCCCCTTTTTAAAAAAAAATAAATAAAAGCATGGTTTTGAGATTTTTTTTTTTTTTTTTTTTGCTTTTTGGGTCACTCCCGGCGATGTACAGGGGTTACTTTGCTCATACATACTCAAGAATTACTCCTGGTGGTGCTCAGGGGACCATATGGGATGCTGGGAATTGAATCCTGGTGGGCCGCGTGCAAGGCAAATGCCCTACCCGCTGGGCTATTGCTCCAGCCCCTGATTTTGAAATCTTACTGAATTTTTTTCCACATATGTAGATGTATTTGATGTAATGCATGTGGAGAATTTCAGTGGTAAATTATTAAACCATCCTTGAATTTTCTGGGGAGAAAAGCTCCCAAGTGTTGCTCAGGAGGTTTGAAGACCACTTCTGCTGATTCTTGGCCAACTGACTCTCCTGTTGACTGCTGGGATCTGTGGATATAATGAGCTCAGATGCTCCTGCTTAGGACCATCAGGGCCATCTCAGCAGTACTTGGGGGTCATCATTGCATTTTAAGATCAATTCAACTGTATGAGATACACTACTGTTTTTTCTATAATACCTTGTGAAAATCATTCCTTTCAATTTTTAGCCATTTTTTTCATATATAGGTATGAGAATAAGTAACACAGACCTTTGAGAATACTTTTTTGTTTTATTCTTATGTGGTTGTAATTGTGTTATGTTATTATTATTAGATTGACTTCTTTCTCTTATCTGTTTCATGAAAATACTTTAGGAGTTACCTTTTCTTGAAAATTACGTACAAGTTACATATGCAGTCGTATGCATTTTTCCTTTGCCTCACTCTTCCTCCTTTTACCCATGTCATCTTGCTTCCATGATTTTGATTAAGCATTTGGATTTTTTAATGGTTAATGGAAATTCACAGTGTTGTATTTAATCCAAATGTGTATAGAAAAATTAGCACATTTGCATCAAATTTCAAAGTTTATTGTAAGAGGCA